CTGCATGAGAAGTTGTTCAATAGGAGCTGGAATATTACCATCTTTTGTCATGTAAAGAGTTTGAAGTTGGCCTCCAGCTTCTGGTATAGAACCATTTGCACTTAGCTGCAGCATAAAGAATTGCACCTCATCCCCTCTCAATTTGTTCACAACTTTTGGACTAGATACCTTGCATTCTTCTGAAATCCCTTTCAATAGATGGTGCTTTCCTTGGTAATTGAAGTCCAAAGTTAACTTAGAGTAGTCTATAGTTATAGGTCCTAGAGTCCTCATCCATAGTGCCCTTAAAATGAAATCATATCTCCCAACTGAAAACACAATCAAGTCCGAGGTGAAAGTTGTGCCTTGTAGCATCCATTCAAAATTTCTAACTACTCCAGAAGTTGCTTCCATAGTATTGTTTCCCAAGCTCACATAACTCACCTTAGTTGGACAAATCTTGCATCCTAACCTCTTAGCAGATCCCTCATCAATAAAATTGTGGGTGCTGCCCCATCAAGGAGTATTTGTATAGGTCTCGTCTCACTATATCCCCTCATATGGATGGTCTGAGCCCCTTGCAAACCACTCAGTGCACATAAAGAGAGCATAGGAGTTTCACCATCCATAACTGTCCATTCTTCAACAGAACCATTTCCTTCATATGTTGGGCTAACCTCTTCCACACCTTCAGTTTTAGACACTTCCAGATCCATGACAAATAGTTGTTTAGAGAGATTACATTTGTGCCCAAGAGTACTTCTCATCACAGAAGTAGCATATACCTTTTACTCTCTTAGCTTGCATTTCCGCAGGTGAAATGGTCCTCCTAGTTTTAGGAATGACTATAGTATTGGCAGCTGGTAGGGCTAGTCGGGACATAGGAATTGAGTTAATGGGGGATAGGTTTAGGTAAGGGGAAATCATAAGGAAGTCGTTTCTTAGGTGTGTGGGAGTGAAGGGAAGGGTAGTGTTTTTGTGCTCTAGCATTAGCGGATAAAATTGCCTCGTCCAACCTAGCTAGCCTGTGGATTTTTGAAAGTGTTTGAGGTTCGTGCATATTTACATGATTAACCAATTCTTCCTTCAAACCTTCTAAGAAACAGGAGATGGCTTGACTCACAAAGAGATCACATTGAGCCAACAGTCAAGCAAAGGCAAATTGGAATTCTCTCACAGAACCAGTTTGCATTAGTTGCTTCAACTCCAACATTAGATCTGAGAATTCCTCACTGAATGTTTTAGCCGGTGCAACAATATATTCATCCCAATTAGGTGGAACAATTGAATCTCTACACTTAAGATAAGACTGATGCCAAACCAACGCCTCATTATCTAAATTCATGGCAACCAAATCGATCTTCTGATTATTAGGTGTATTATCAATAGAGAAATATCGTTCAGTCCTATATAACCAAGTCTTCAAATCCTCCCCATTAAATCAAGGGAACAACAAATTATGGCCACGACTATTAGAATTATTACAATAAGGATTAGGTCCTAAAATACCTTGCTTCGTTTGAGCACCAATTTCTCTGACATTATAAGTAGAAGCATTTTCTCGCAGTTGTTGTTGCAAGTGTATCCCATAAATGGAGTTTTTGAGAGAACTAACCAGCTAAACCATCCCTGCATGCCTACGCTCCAGATCTTCCCGTAAGTCCTGTGTTTTTTTATTGATTACAGCTCGTAAGTGCTCATGTTGTGCAGCCAGATCTTCATACTGCTCCTACAAATCTGGATTACGATTTTCAGTGACAACATCCACAACCCTGCGAGGGCCCATAATTCACCTAGCTCTAATACCAATTAATACCAAAATTTGGTATCGAATCCTCTGATGAACAGTAATAACAAAAATATGAAAATAAGAAAGAGAACAGAGTAGAAGAAGAGAAGAAAGGAGGGAGAACTCAGAGATAGAGAGAGAAACTAGGACTGCATTATCATATTAAACGTGCGTCTTTTCTATTACAATTCTATATTTATGTAATTTGAAAATGCAAAGTAGCTGACTAATGCGCGCAACTAACTTTCCCACTAAAAGCTGAATTACACTCTAAAAGCTAACTTTTTAAAATGTCCTAATCACCATCTACTCAGCTGTTGAAGTGGCATCCACATTGGTCGTTGTCCCAATATCTATATCAATTTTTTTTTGTGTATATATATACAAAAACTATACAAATTTTATACACTTTTTTGACTCTGAAATGTAAATCGTTTCTCTAAAAGTGATAATATCCCAAAAAAGAAGTGTTTGGGGGCCCAATGAATTGAAGGATTTAAGCCCAAATACCCAATAGTCAATTTGGGCCGACAATTTCCAAAATTTTAATTGATGCCCAAACGTTCTTCGTCACCGATTTGATTAACCGACCACTACTCTCTTTGCGCTGCGAAATTGCTCTATTTTCTCCGGCAAAATCCAGTAGTAAGCTCCTTTCTTTATTTCTACAACATCTTATTTTCCGCTTGTTATAATTTCTAATGGTAGAATACTATTTATGGGTTGATTGCAATGGTAAAAAATGGAAAGAGTTGTTCTTCAAACTTTCCACTTTAAATTTAAATATGGCAATAAAAGAAGTAGGTTTTAAGTTTTAGTCTCCGAAATGTTACTGGTTGATCCGCTTAATAGCCTGTTTGGCCAATGGCTGTATACCTCTCAATAGAACCATCAGCCTTCTGTTTGATTTTATACACCCATTTGCAAGGGATAGCCTTCTTCCCAGGAGGAAGTGGGATAATGTCCCAAGTATGACTGACCTCTAAAACCTGAAACTCTTTCATCATAGCTTTCTGCTAATTGGGATTAGAAGTTGCCTGATGATAGAACTGAGGTTCTAGCAAACAAAAGTCATCAGATAAGAGAGAGGTCTTAGACTTAGACACAGAGGTGCATACATAGTCTTTCAAATAAGCAGGAGTGGTATGAACTCTAGTGACTACCTAAGGGGAGGCAAAAGATTAGAGGGGGATGTAGAAAGAGGAGTCTCAGCGCAAGGCATAGGATTTGGAATAGGGACATGAGTAGAAACAGAAGATGAAGGTACAACAGAGGGAAAAACATGGGAAGAAGGGATATCAGAGGGAGAGACAGAAGGAGGAAACAAATGAACAAAAGATGAACCTGAAAAAGGAAAAAGATGTTCATGAAAAACTACATCTCTCGAGTGAAATATGGCTGAAGAAGAAAGATTAAGGAGCTTATAAGCTTTCTTCCCAAGACTGTATCCAATGAACACGGAAGACATGGTCCTTGATTTAAATTTATCTCTACAAGGTTTTGGAACAGCAGCAAAGGCTAAGCATCCAAATATTTTTAAGCGATTGACCGAAGGAGAAACACCGTGCAAGAGCTCAAAAGGGGATCTGTTATCCAACAAAGGGGAAGGGAACCTGTTTATCAAGTAAGTGGCAGTTAAGATACATTCACCCCAATATTTGACTGGCAATTAGGACTGAAAAAGAAGAGCTCGAGCAGTTTCTAATAAGTATTTGTATTTCTTCTCCACTACACCATTTTATTGAGGTGTGTGTGAACAAGAAGTTTGGTGTAATATCCCATGAGAAGAAAAAAATGAAATTGCTACAGAACTACTGCCCAACTCAAAGGCATTATCAGACCTAATAGTTTTAACAAGGAAGCCAAATGAGTCTGAACCATATGTATGAAAGTTTTGAGTGTAGTGAAAGCATTTGACTTAGAGGATAAAAGGTGGGTCCAGGTTGCCCTGGTATAGTCATCTACAAAGGTAATAAAGTATTTAAATTCATTATAAGTATGGGTATGGTATTGTCCCCAAAGATTAACATGCACTAGTTGGAAAGAAGTGGAAGAATGAATGTTGCTTTCAGGAAAAGGTAGTCTCTGCTGCCTTGCCATGGGACATATTGGGAACATAAGAGTTTGCTTCTTAAGTAGATTACCAAATAGAAAAGCAACTGATTTCATTTTAGCAAAAGGCATATGACCTAATCTTAAATTCCATACATGATCAAAACATAAAGTAGAAGGTAAATCATTTCCAGACACATCAATTAAGGAATTGGCAGAACTAGATTGAAAACTGCTCTTATTAGAATCATTAATAATGGCAGCTATGGTATTGAAGAATCACAGGAATCAATAGGTCAAAGATTATCTGAATGCAAGAGGTATAACCCCTTCTGAAGTCTACCAAGAATCAGTGACTTCTTCAGAAAAGGGTCCTGCAATAAGATGCAAGCAAAATGAAAGAATAAGGCATAACTAATGAGATGAAGAAATAATTTAGAAAGGGAGATCAAATTGTAGTGAAACAAAGGTACAAATATAACATTTGGAAGAGATATATCAGAAGAGAGGGAAAGGGTGCCAGTACAAGTTACATTAACCTTGTAACCATTAGGAAGGGTTACAAGATAAGGAAAAAGTAAAAGTTTAATATCTCGATGAAGTGCTTTGTGCGGTGTCATGTGACTTGTAGCATCCGAGTCTATAATCCAAACACTACTCTTTATCCTAGACACATTGCAAGCAAGAAAACCATCAAAATGAAAATTAGCAGAATTCAACATGCATGCAAAATTTGTAGACCCTGAAACCAATTCTTGAGGGGCAGATGACACTTTTGTCTGCTGAATGAGAGAAATGAGATGCTCATATTGCTCCTTAGTCAGCATACTACCTCCAATATCAGCCTGGATCACCTTGGAACCATCTGTGCTAGAACCCTCAGAATGACCCACCATTGAGAATCAAACACTTGAGCATAAGTGGCAGATTGCTTGAACTTTGTCTCAATACCAGGAGGTTACCCATGTAACTTGTAACGCCGGTCAATCGAATGGCCCAATTTCCTACAATATTTGCATATGATGCTGGAATTGGGTTTCTTAAGAGTCTCAAAATTACCTCTTTGAGTGTAAGGTTTCTAAATGGTGGCAGGAAGAGATTGACCATAGGGCTTCTATACATTAGTGAAAAAAGAGGCAAACTCGAAACTGAAAGAAGGAGTAAAAGTCTGGACCTCAGCCTAACTTTCATCTTCAATAAGCATTTCATAGACACTGTCAATATTGGGGAGAGGCTTCATCATCAAAATGCTCCTTCTAACATTAGAATATGACTCATTCAGCCCCATTAAAAATTGGTGAACTTTCGGATCCTCCTCTAGTTTCTGAAAACCTTCCTTACACCCGCAAATACAAGGAGGGTAGGTGATGGAGATAGTCAATTCATCCCAAAGCTTTTTGAACCTACTAAAATAGGAGGCTATGTTGGATAAACCCTGAGAAGTTGAAGATATTTTCTTGCGTATTAGAAACACTTTACTTCCATTTGGCTTTCCATAACGTTGTTCGATCTCCTTCCATAGTTTTTGGGCAGATTCAGTATACATCACGCTTTCTCTGATTTCTAAATCTAGTCTATTTAGAATACAAGTTGTAACCATGTCGTTGCACCGATACCAAGCCTCATACAAAGGTGAATCTGCACCGGGCTTAGCAACCATCCTATTGATTAAACCTAGCTTATTCTTACAGGAAAGGCCTATGAGCATACCTCGACACCAGCTTTCATATCCTAATCCATTGAAAGTACTGGCTACAATAACAATACCAGTAGAATCTGATGGATACAAATAGAGTGGGTGGGACGGCTACAGTTGACGATACAAACTCAGAATTTGTAGAGGGACTACTCATGTTCGAAGAATTACCAGTAGTACTCATCTTTATGCCAAATTAGGGTTTTGAAATGTAGAAAAAAACCCATCAATCAATCAACTGATTTACGAAACAGAGTAGAAGAGAACAATACTAAACTTCTCAACAGGGTGAAGAGACGAAAAAAATATGTAAAAAAAAAACTCAGATGTTATCGTCGCTGGAAAATCGAAAAACTGTGATTCAAGCCACAAGGGTAACACCGGAAGAATTGCCACACTGCGATCTATCGAACTCCGAGCTCTGATACCATGTTGAAAAGCGAAATCAAAATCTCTGTGGAAATTTTCAGAAGCCAGAACCTAAGAACATGATTAGGAAACAAATCGTAGAGAGAAACATCTAAGATTTCATTGATATTCTGTTTTTAAAAGAAATGAATATTATACATGTGCAAAATAAAATCCTCTATTATATACATAAGGAATACGGCCGGGTCGGGTAATCACTTAAATAGAAAAGATCCACGTACTGCCCAGTTATGGAGACCTTGGTCGTTCTTGGGCCCATATTACTCTATTGGGCTGCAACTTAACACTTTGGAGTTCAACAGTTGCAAAAATCAGCTTATTCTGAGAAGTATTTTTTCTCAAAAGTACTTTTTGTGAGAAACAGATTGTATTTGACTAATTAATTTGAAAAACACTTCTGAGCAGCAATTAGTGTTTGGCCAAGCTTTTAAAAACTTATTTTAAGTGTATTTTCTCGAAAGTGCTATAACAGTTTATTTTTACCTGTTGTAGCAAGTAATTTATCTTATTTTTAATACTCTTATAGTTTAAAAAAGATTGTCTTAGTTTGACTTGGTACAAATTTTTATAAAAAGGGAAGACTTTTCAGATATGTGGTCTTAAATAAGCATAATATTTGTGTGGCTGTATAACTACTAAAACTTTTGAAAGTTGTGGTCTAAAACCTGTCATAATATTTGTGTGGCTATAAATGCTTCCTATTAAGAGGTGATAATCTTTTTGGAACATACTAATAAGGAAATAGTGTCAATCTTTTTGAAATAGAGAGTAGTATTACAATTTCTCATTTCTAATGTAGATATCTTTTGGATGATCGATAATTAAAAAAAATTACACTATCCATGAATACATGATACTATTAAACTTGTTTTCAGGACTCTTTCTTCTCTACAAGTCTAAGCGTGCATTCACGCACTCTCACACAGAGATACACACAACACACATAATGACTGGTTGGGTTGGGTTAGGGGTTCATAAATCTTAATTTACGTCATAGTATACGTAATTGATACGTGATTGACCTATCTTTCTATTGCAACTAAAGTAATCAAACTAGTTTACTATTCTAAGATAATGTTGTTCAGTCTATGGAAATTACAAAGATGTTGCTGCAGTTTGCTACGGGGCCTTTTATCTAAAATATGTACAAGGAAAACAAAAACAAAGATTTGCAAAATCGAAATCTATTCAATCATTTGGTTATACGCGCGTTTATATATATAATGTGTACAACAGTATATAATATGTGAATAATTTATATATACTAATTAGGAAAGTAACTGATTGTTTGTATAAATATTCCGTTAATATCACATTCTAAGTGTATGTAAACGAAAAAGAAAAACTAAAGATATAGTATATCATATAAAATAGCTAAATTCGAATTTGGAGTTATCCAATATTAGTAATTTTACAAACTTTATATACTTTGCCCAAAATGAATCTAAGTAAAAGAGAGAGAGAGAGTTTTTAGTTTCTTATTTCTTTTTTCCTTTTTTAACTTTAAACAGTGGATTTTTATCTAGGTTTGATCAGTTCTGTTTTCCACTCTATTACACTCTATTTTGATTCAAATTAAATAAATAATTTATGTGCCTTAAAATAATCTCCAAACCATTCTTTCCACTCTTGTAAATGAGTATAATCTAATATTAAATTTAGTAAATGATTTGATAAGTTCGATTGACTAATTGTGCAATTTGTCTCGACTAACTCGATTGAGACAACAGCACCGTCCAAGACATCGATAGTAAAATATTAACGACTTTTTGATAGTGGTTTCTATTGTTATAAAATAAAGACTGTAAAGTAAAGACAAGTATAGAGAGAAACTGATATATTATTCGAATTCAAACTGATGTACATAATGAACTGTAATCTCTTCTATTTATAGAAGAAAGGAAGCTGTTGTGTAAGCTGATACTGCAAGCTGCTGTGTAAGCTGCTATTATACCACATATGGATAATCTTCTACTGAGAGCAATGTTTATCCATAATGGAATACTGAATGGATAAACTCATTGTACCCAGTATAGATAATCTTCTACTAGGGGTAATGACTATCCATAACGGAGTATTGAAAGGATAAGCTCATTGTACCCGGTATGGATAATTTTCTTCCGGAGATAATATTTATCCATAACCGAGTACCGGAAGGATAAGCTTATTATACCTGGTATGGATAATCTTCTACCGGGGTAATGTTTATCCATAACCGGGTACCGAAGTGATAAGCTTCTTCAGGAAGCTTATTTCTAATAGAGCACTAAATAGATAAACATATTTACGGCGGAGTCCCATATACAACGGAGTACTAAATGAACATCCATAATATAATATATTTATAACACTCCCCCTTGGATGTTCATTAAAAGATAATGTGCCTCATTAAAACCTTACTAGAAAAAACCTCGTGAGAAAAATATCAGTGAAGGAAAAAGAGTACACATATGTAGTAATACGCATTGCTGGCTGCCTCATTAAAAACCTTATAAGGAAAACCCTATGGGAAAAACCTTAGTAAGGAAAAAAAAAGTACAATGCGCATTTTACTCCCCCTGAAGAAAACCTTATTTCAAATATTTGAGTCTCCCCATTCCAATCTTTTATACCATATTCTCAAAGGTTGAAGTTGGTAAAGACAATCTGCTAGATTATCACTTGAACTAATTTGATGCACATCAATGTCACAATTTTCTTGAAGATCATGTGTGTAGAATAATTCTGATGAAATTTTCTTCATTCTATCTCCTTTTATAAATCCTCCCTTTAATTGGGCTATGCATGAAATATTGTCTCCGTATAATATTGTGGGTCTTTTATCACATTCCAACCCAC